CCCGCGCAGGAAGAGCTGCTCAGCGGGATGCTCGACCATCTCAGGCGCCAGGTGCGTGAAGGCCCACACGCGTCTTTATATCTTGTGAGATGAACGACGGATAGTCAGAAGCCGTCCACCTCCTCCGTGGTGACCCTTCTTCATCCGACGAAGAACATATACGGATTATGCTCGTACAGACGGAAATTGAACGTGTCAAGTTTATCGTGAGATCGTATGTCCGTACGAGGTTGTTCAAGGTGCGTCTTTTCTTTTTTTCTCCATTGCGATACGTTGTTGATGATTGGGAAGATAGAGAAATACGCCCGATTCGTCACATCCAACGCTGATGTCCAAAGACGTTTGACGGCGGCTGAGAGGGACCATGCGAGTCGGTACGCCGTTATATTCTTCCCATGTCCTCGTATGCTAATCAACACCTCTTTAGACACGCGAAAATAACAGACCAGCACTTTTACCTATCTGTCCTACAAAGTCTGCCAGAAGCCCAGGCACACCTGGACGATACACCCGTGTTTTATCCGTCTATGGGTTGGTCCCTTCCCTTCCTTCTTTTCTTCCATTTTTCTTTCTTTCTCGTTTACCGCCACTTTTTATGTCTCTTTCCTTCCTTTCTCCGTTCACTTCCCGTCATTTCCTAACTTCCTTACCCGTTCAATTTCTTCCCTTCTCCTTTTCCTTCCCCTTCCTTATTCCCCTTGCCCCTTCCTCCTTTCCTCCCTTGATCTTCCTCTTCCTCCCTTCTTCCTCCCCCGTCCCCTCTTACTTCCTCCCTGGCCTCCTTCGTCTCTTATTTTCTTCCCTCTTCCTCTTCCCCCCTCCATTTGTCCCTTTCCCGCTTTCCTCCTTCCTTCTCCGTTCTTAACTCTCTTATCTCTTCTTTCTTCTCTTCCCTCCCTTTCTTTCTTCTCTTCCTTCCCTCACTTCTTCTCTTCCTTCCCTCACTTCCTCCTCCCCTTTCTGTCTGGCCTCCTTCGTCTCTTATTTCTCCCTTCCTCCTTCTATACCTTCCTTTGTTCCTTTCCTGCTTTCTCCCCTTCCTTCCTTCTCCATTCTGACCTTCTTTCTTCTCTTCCCTCTCCTTCCTCCCTTCCCCCGTGTTTTTCTTTCCCCTCTTCCTTTTTCCTCCCCTCCTGCCACGTCCCTTCCCCCTGCTTCCCCCACTTTCCTTCCCCCACTCTCTCCCTTTGTTTTTTTCTTATTTTTCTGACTTCCCCCTTTTTCCTTCCGCTATTTTTTTCTTTTCTTTCTTACTTCCACCTTTCGCTCGCTGCCTTGCTTCCTCTTTCCCCTCCCCTTTCTCCTCTCCCCACTCCCCTTCCCTCCCTTGT